GCTTCACTTTTAGTACTTACTCTTTACAAGACACTTCTGCCTTACAGGTAAATCCTTAAGTCAAGTAAGAGAATTGTTTTTATTTATTTATTTAATTTTGGCTTCCTAAGCCAAATTTTATGGATGTGTGCATATAGTTGACAATCTGGAGCGAGGATCAATTGCTGGAACGAGCAAGAGTCTTTAGCGGGACTACAGCCCCGCCATGCAGCTCTTCCTAGAATGAGACATCTTGGTATTATCATTTAAATGAGACCATTATTGTCTAAGTCCTGGAATATGTGGCTGTTCAGGAAGTCACTGAAATGATCTGTGGCTGGATTTCTTTTCGTTTCTTTTCTTTTGAATGAATGAGTGAATTTAACTGTGCTGACAAACTGCGGTCTAGCGAACAACTGCAGTGGAGCATATGCAGCTATTGCCTGTAGTAAAAGCGAGGCAGAATTCCAACCGTATTAACTAGATAAAGAAGAAAAATATATCCAGGGTGAAAATGTCCTTTGAAATTCCTGGAAAGGTGAGCCCAGATTTTTTGTGTGTGGATATGACAGGAGGCAAAAAAATTCAGAGTAATTTCCTCATCCTTCTAGTTTTTAGAAGCCTCAAAGAGGAAGTTCACACCTGCCAACAGCAAAAGTTTTATTCTGTTTTCTTTGTTAAAGGTGTCTGTGTTTTGAGCAGAATCCTTTCCCCTGGAGTAGCCAAGCATGTGCACATGTAAGCAATCACCTGAGGAGAGGGGTGACGGGACGAAAATGCAAAGCACCCAATTCAAGACTTCAAACTGTCACTGAAACTTAGGGGGCCCATTGCCATTTTGTGAAGTTAACATATGCAAAATGGTGGGATTTTGCAGGAAAAAAAAATCCTATCCCTGCAAGGATGATTTGAGGCAGGAAAAGAGGAAGTCTTGTCAGGCCTGCACAGGTGAGGGGGAGAAGGTGGCAATTCCTTGTCCTTGCCTGAAAGAATGAGGCACATAAGGGCATACATTCCTGGTGAGGATCCATCTGCGGAGTTTCATGGCACATGACAGAATGGCTCCTGAAGGATTTAAGTTGGTCCTTCCCATGCCGTAGGAGTTTGAGCACACTCCGCGTCTTCTCCTTCTTTTCCTGCTGTTATTACCACAAGGGATACAGAGTTATTTGTAGAGCTACTCTGCATCTTCCACCACACGCAGGGTGTCACTGATGTGCATGTACACAGGTCCCAGAATACAGATTTTTCCAACTTATAATGCTTCGCTGGGAGATGGATTTTCCTTAGCCAAGCCCTTAAGATGTGCACCAGCCACTCTGATGCAAAGAGTTCGTTCTCCCCTATGCGCGCTGCACCCACACGAAAGTAGTACTACCAGTCAAGTCAAACTAAGGACATGGTTTCTTCAAATTAACTCCTTCTCTTTTCTTCTTCTTCTTGAAAGAACCAGTTGTTGTCTTGTGCCATCAGGCCACCTTCGATTTATGGGCGTCCCCATGAATGACCGATCTCCAACACGTCCTGCCCTCAACCGCTCTGCTCAGCTCTTGCAATGATGCAAACTCAAGCCTGTGGCTTCCTTTAAGGCATCAACCCATTTTCCATCTGGTCTACTTCTTTTTTCTCCTGCTGCCTTACACCATCCCTGGCATGATTGCCTTTTGCAACATATCCTACCTTCACATGATGCGCCCAAAGTAAGACAGCTTCTGTTCCAATATTTTTTTGCCTCCAGGTTACAGTTCAGGCTTGATTTGCTCTAGGATCCACTTGTACATCTTTCTGGCAGTCCAGAGCATCCGCAAAGCTATGACCCAGCACCAAATCATTCTTCCCCCATCAGCTTTCTTAAATGTCCAGCTGTCAAACCCAGACATTGTAATCAGGAATACAAGAGCACGGATGATCTTGTGTTGGTCTCCAGTGACGCCTCCTTACAAATGATGATCTTTCTTAATGCCTTCATTGCTGCCCTTCTGAGTCTCAGACTTCTGATTTCTTAATGAACTCTCAGCGTGTTGAGTGTCGAGACAGCCTGCTTTTGTCAAGAATAAGCAATTACTGTCACATCCCCTGTATAACAACAGGGAAAACTGCAGGACAGTGTTCCAGGCAGCCATCTGTGAGCAGCTTAGCCACAGAAAAATAACCGCTGGGCCGCAGTTCCAAGCAGCCTCTGCGTGGTTTGTCTTTCACGCAAACCAGGATGGTGCAAGGTGAAATGAGCTGAAGGAGAGATGCCCCTTCCACAATATCTGGGAGCCGGATGTGCTTTTCCATTCCGGAGAAAACTGAGAAGCTGTTTTGAAATGAGCCGTT